AAGTAATGTCTGAAGATTGAATCCACAGACTCATTTCTTTACGTATCTTAATGGTTTACAATAGTCACTCCACGTTAGCCAAGACTGGATCTCGGCAATACAAAACATACATCTTCACAATATCACTGAACAACAGCAAAAATTAAACAAATTAACCAATAGCATAGCTTGTAGCTGCTGACATTCATGGCCTGTGGGTTTATAAATAAGACATGTAGTTTATATTCAGGTACATAATAATATGTAATCACAGTGAAACTTCTATAACTTCAATTTCTAAAAATAAAAAAAAAATCCCATACAGCAACAATTATTCTTTGCAAATTTCATATTTTACTAAATTTTACTATCACACCAGAAGTCATCGGCCAAACTGCAAAATGTTCTCGCAACCTACTGTAACAACTGAATCTCAAAGAAAGAAACAAATGCACTCCACCTTAAGAAACTTACCAGGAAATTAATCAGGCTGAAGAAGAAGTGACATAATAATAGATGCTGGACGCAGAAAAAATTCACATCTCCTCACCCAATGACCAATCCGCAAAACTATGGTTAATGTTCATTCGTACAAGTGCTAAAATAATACTAAAATTGTCACAGTTTCTGGAATATAATCATGAGATACTGGTTCATTTATTTATTTAATTTACCTCTAAACAAATACTTGCACTCCGTAATTACAGGGTTTGAAACTTGTGGCTGCTACGTCAGCTGAAGTACGTTGATTTTGCAAGCAAAACTCATAATAACTAATTCCACGGAGCACAGTCCTTGAAAAGCTAAAACTATGATCAGTTAATCAAGACATACCCTGTGAAGTTAGTATAAATAGTTTAAAATAATTTCAGAACTGAAGTGTTGAACCTTTATAAACAGTCATAAATATGGTAATTTTTTGTTCAAAGCCTCTGATATGGCTAGTGAATTTTAATCTTGGTTAGCAAACATCATTTTTCAAGCCCCGGAGATAAAGGATGTTTCTATGTGAATTTATAGCACAAGTTTAAATAATATAGTAAATATGTTGTATAATTAGTTAATAATAAAACAGATGAAAAAAAACTAAATTTTAAAATCTAGTTATATGCAGTGTATCATAACTATTAAATAAATCGTTATATACAATACATTTGTTCACTAAATGTAGGCACTTACACAAAATTTCTTATTAAAAAAGCTTGTGTAAAATGACGGTAAATTAAATTACCCATAAATACAAAGAGCACGGCTATTTATTCTTGAAATAGGTGGTACATATATGAGCCGGGATAGCTCAGTCAGTATAGTGACTAGCTACGGGCTGGACGACCAGGGTTCGATCCCCAATAGGGGCAGAGGATTTTTCCTCTAGCCTCTGCTTCCAGACCGGCTCTGGGGCCCACCCAGCCTCCTGTCCAATGGGTACTGGGATCCTTTCCCGGGGTAAAGCACGGCCGGGGCGTAATGCTGACCACTAACCCCCATCTAGTGCTGAGGTCAAGATAGAGAGGAGCTATACCTCCACTCACCCCAAGCGCCCGCATGGCACGTAGCGGGACAAACTTTACTTACAGGTGGTACATAGTTCCCACTGCGCTTTAACGGGCTAATAAAATACAAAGAAACACAATTTTTAACTCTGTAGTATAAAATGTTTTACCAACGAGAGATCTGAATGTATAATAAAGGACCAATGAGATGCACACAATCACAAAAAACATGTTTAGAAAACACGTGAACTCCTTTACACTCATTAAATGCCCTTAATTTGGTAACGTACTACACAAGATGTAGTTTATACGAACCCATATGAACACCCTGATGAAACAAACGCATTACAGGGTTTAGAAACGTACTTGCCATCTAGTGATCACATGGGGAACATTCCATTTTCCACACTCCAAGTCAACAAACAATCATACTGACGTTAGGAAGATGGGAGGATATAATCCAACGACTCAAGCTACGATTCAGTAACTTCTGCCCCCTCACCCAGAGCTGAAGAAATTTTAATGTCTTTGTAATGTATATATATTATCTAGCCTTCTTTTTCACAAAATATACATATTTACAAGAAACATGGAAAATTATTGCTCTTTACACCATTTATATAATCTTGAATAATGTTAAAGAAATATTAACGATAATTTTAAGACTGTTTTTAAGTTGAGGGATTGATTAAAATACACGTTTCTGTAGCATTTTAACACGACATACCTGCAGATCAAAGTGTATAATATAACACAATTAGTCTTTACTTTCATACACAATTTCAGGACAACTGAAAGTGATAAAAATATTCTTGGATGATCAGATGTATCAGTTCAGACCTCAAGTCCAGTGTTTTGAAGACCTCAAAACTGTCTCCAAAATAACATACTTCTGTCCTGAACTGATGAGGCTGATCGCCAAAGAATATTTAATCGCTTTCCTACCATGTTAAAGTACGCGATGGTCAAAACAAAAATTGTGTGCTTCTAAACAAACAAACTCTCCAAAACTGCAATCCATGCAAATACCTCTTCATTCATCCAACCCAAACCTTTAAAACTAAAACACCAAAATATGGTGTTTACAGAACATTTAAATTATTAACTGGTCTCATCATGTTAGGATAAAGCGATTTCAAACGCGCAGTAAAGGGTCAATTACACAATGAGATAAACAGCGTTACAACATTTTACATCCAAGGATACAACCAATAATACTTCAAAGGCAAACAGAAATATTCTTCTGCTTCCTTGAATAATAAGTTGTAGAAGTTTCACTGTCTATGCGGTGCGACTTTTGAGGCAAGTAAATACAGTATATTTCCCAATGTAAAAATAACTCTGCAGACTAAAGCAGATTTCTTATAAACAAAAAGGTTGAAGCCTTACGTTAAAGCTATTCATTATGTGAGTGTGGGGGTGTATGAGAGAGAGAAAATAATTTTATCCTAGGAAAGACGCCCATTTGGCATAAAGATTTCTAGGAAAACAATTAATACACATTCCATTATTATAACAGAATAAATACTGTACTTTCTTGCTGGGCAAGTTTCCTTTCCTTAATTATACTGCAATAAGTCAATGAATTTCATGACGAGCACAAGTTTCCTTGTGCAAGGCATGATTTATGAACAAGATGATAATAAAATGCAGTCAAACCTGGAAAACTGATAGTACTTTCTCTTAGGACTGGTTCCTTCAAACTCTGAAATGAAATGGCAGTTCTGACTGGCCTACGCGGATCAATCTTGTTACGAAGTCCCATTAAAATGTATTCAAATTATAAAAATCCAGTAAAACTTAACATTAACAGGAAAACTCTCTGGCCCTAGAAATAAGAAATATAAAACTAATACAAAATTACTTCTAATGAACAGAAACTGTTAAACCACAGAAATTATAGGAAAAATAACAACTGGCAGAAACAATCGACAATTTTGTTTTTGTGCACATAATTTTGTTCCAAACTTTGCTTGAAATGTATTTAAGAAGAAATAATTCTGTCGCCAGTCCTGCACCGTAGCCGCGCGGTCTGAGGCATCATGCTTCGGACCGGCGATGCAGAATGCGCGCTGGTTCGAGTCTCAGGGGAGAAGAAATTTCTCGTGAGATTTTCGACCGGTGTATGGGACCGGTGCCAACCCAGCATCGTGAGGAAATTTGGGAGCTACAATGAGTAGCGTAATCCAGTCATGAAAACTAGCAATGGCTGGGGGTTCGTCGTGCTGACCACAAGTCACCCTATATCTGGTTGGATGATCGTTCACCTCTGCTTAGGCATGTGAATATGAGGCCAGCAGTAAAGCTAGTCGGCTTTGGCTCTCTGGAGCTGCTACGCCACGGATTTAATTTTTTAATTTTAATTCCATCACCAACAGGAATGAACTAAGCTCAATTGCCAATATAATACAGTACATTCGTAATGCCTTAAGCGGTTACTTGGAAAATTGTTTAAAAGACAGACAACAGAAAGGAAACTCCAAATGTGCACTGCTCAGAAAAAGCGTACTGTACGTATCAGCATCAATTTTTGTGACTTGAGATTTGAAGTACATACTGTAGATTATCTTGCATAGAAATAATACCTGGATTGAACAGAAAATCACCTGAAAGATAAAATTGCTGGAGCGCCTTCAGATTATGTAATTAGTACATTTCACTACATGACACAAAATTCTGTCAAGTATAATAGCGAATATAGTTCATGTCTGGATCGATTTCCGTGAACCATAATTTACATTTCATCTACAGAAATACCGAGGCTCCATTTGCATGTAATGTTAAGGTCTGAAGAAATCTAATCCAAATTGCCTAATATGAATTAAACACAAGATGACTTGGCATTACACACCAGAAGCTGAACATCAGTATTTTCGAAACAGTGACGACCCCTGATTTCATAAAATTAAATTAGTCCCCAACATTAAATTTAAAAAAAGAAATGTTGATGCAGCACTTCTTTTGAATGTACATACTAGTATTGACATTAATATTTTCTCTTTAAACTTCAAACTCAAAACAAAATGCAGGCAAATAATCTAGATATATTAAAGTAAAATACAGTTTATGACTGACCAAGTTATGTTATATGGCAGAATGTTCTATTTTATGAGTGCTGCTACCATCAGGCAACATTTAAACTACTTCTAAAGGAAATAAACATACAAAATCAATACATAAAAGGGGTAAGGATGAAGTTATGTAAGAACCGCTGAATTTCAACGGGCCTTTTCCACTAGCGTTCATAAATAGTTTAAACATTCGAAATGTGAATGCAAAACTATTCTGTAATGAGAATAAATTACACAATATATGTAATTTTAACAAAACCAAATTTCACTGCATTGTTACCATAACCACATGAACTAATAAGTTGACCATCTATTAAATTAACTAAATATCAGTTTTTCCTTTGGTTAAACCCTTAATAATTTCAATGGGAACAAGTTTCGAACTTTTTTTTGCAAACTAATACAAAAGTTAAAAATTGTTTTGACACAGAAGAAAGATTTTAAACACACTTAAACATTTCATATGAAAAATGTTTTAATTACGAGGTCTGTTAAATGCAAAGCTTAGCGATGCAGTTTCTTTAACCATCATTTGTATCAGTCATACTGAAAAACAGAGGCCGCATAAAACCTATGAGCATTATCTCATCCATAAGCAATGTGACTTTCAGACAATGAGCAAAGCTGAAACAAAGTTTCCCTTTAATATTTTAAAATTCTGTGAGATCAGTAATTTTATGCTCGTTATTCAAGTCTAGAACAATAATTAAAATAATTCACACAATGTCTGAAAAACAGTACTTCTTTCCAGAAAAAAATATCAGAAGTTGCAAACTTACACAAAGAGATTAATAAAACACAGGAGTCTAACAGATTTCTCCCATCGCTGAATAAAGGCATCATGAAATAAGTTACCCAACTGAGCAACACACACAGAATGCTATATCACGCTGTACATAACAGCATAGCATCTCATCAAGAAAACAGGAACACCTCATCAGAACTGGGGGAAAACATTTCTCCCCTCTTGCACAAATATTAAACCTGCCACTTTAATTACAAATCTGATGACGTTCCCGATAATTAAACCATCACTTTATGCAGCATTCAACGTTCAATCAAGAGCCAGCTCACAAAAGAAATTTCCTAAAATCGATAAAAAATAAATTCTGTAATTTACAAATAATCGTAATATTATTATACAAATTTTATGAAAGAAGCGTACAGAAAATCTAATAACATTCTAAGAACAGTTTTAAAGTCAAATATTCCACAAAACATCAATTTTAATTTACTTACCATTCTTTCAAGTTCAATTTCTAAACCACATTAAAATACCGAAAATAATGAGCTTCCGTAAACTTCGCATACGTTCCGATACATCTATTAGGTTTCTACCTGTACAGAGCTCATGAAGTTAACTTTAATTTGTCCCAAAGACATCAGATCAGTGGGACAACCACACACTTACAAATAATTCCACACTCTTTGGATACAAATTACCCAACATCTGTGGCACGGTCTCCACGTTACTTGCCACGACTGAGGTACTCGCGAATGGCTTCACGATCACGCTGCAACCAAGCGGCATTCAGGTGAATTGTTTCACAACTCTGCTGCACTGTGCGCTCTGTACCTGGAGAGTGATGATCTCTGAAGAAGGCTTCTATCTCGGCAGCGACCTCTTCACTCGCAAAATTTTCTGTTGTATATTTCACAAGACGTGCCAAAAGAAAGCCACTCTGCAAAATAAATATAAACTTTGGGGGGAAAATATACATCTTGATTTATTTAATGGCATTTTGCTACATGAACTGATTAAAAAAAAATGTAAAGATTTCAGGTTCCTACGACAGCAGCAAGTATGAAGATGGCCAACCTATACAATTTAATGAAAAATGCACTGCACTCACGCAGGAGAAAACATCTGAAACGTACATTGAAAGAGAAACATGAAATTCAGACTCATAACAATTCTGTAGGAAAATGATTTGTCCTGTTACTGAAACAGCACGTCAGTTCTGTAGAACTAGGCAGACAAGTTAAATCTGGAAAACTCAGTGAACGTAAACATGTTACTTACCTTATACCTATTCATGAGCTCTTGCCAGTTCTCCCTGAAGAAACGCCAGGCAAGATCCCTGCCTCGTTTGGTCATGGCTACCGAGATGATAACAAATACTGTGTCTTGCGACCGCACCTCATCCTGCAATTCAATGACGTCTAATTTCAAACATAATTCATAAGGCTTAAGGTTGTAATCCTGCGACAAAACCCAGACAATACTGAACCAACCAATATTAATCAAACTATAATCATGCACTTCCCCACTTAATGGTACCTGCACCTTGTCATTGGTGGTGGGGCTTGAGTACCTCAGTGACCCCAAGAGCTATGCTGGTGGTAGCATAGCTACTGGTAGGGCCTCCCTAGGGGGAGAGGTCAGACTAAGACAGGTACCCTGGTCCTCCAGGTTGGGGGTTGGTCGCAAGGCTAACAACCTTGCACCGTAAAAAGGAAGATGTTTCGAAACCTCGATCAAAGCCTCGGACAGACGGACCTAACAGAGGATCGAATGGAAGAGGAGAATTGAGGAGGCCATGGACCGAATACGGACCGGAGGGCCATAGAAGAAGAATAATAATAATCATGCACTTACATTTCCACCATAGCTGATTGCATTACATTTTAACAGAGCCATCTGCAATCATCTGTACCTGACCACACGAGCTACTCTAACATCACCCTCCCTATTCTTCTCTCTTTGTCTTTTGGTAATCTGCTCACATCTCTCGATGTCCGTGTGGAACTTTCGGCTTCATATGTCAAAATGCGCGTTAGTACTTTTAGAAAACATAACTCGACGGTTTTTAAAATTATTTGATCGCAAATTATACCCGTTAACAGGTTCATAAAATTTCCTGCTTATATACAAATAGCCAAATTTTAAAATGACATCTGGCCTATGAATTGCAGTCCTCTAGATCAGGGGTTCTCAGCCTTTTTAGCAGGCGTACTACTAATTCTAATTTAACATATTAAATGTACCACTAACCAAATGTGTTCAGGGAAAACTTATTTATGAAAATATTATCTTTTGATTTTCGTAACTAGTTTGCGTACCACTCGACACTGGCTCGCGTACCACCAGTGGTACACGTACCATATGTTGATAAACGCTGCTCTAGACTGTGGGCGGAAGGAGCAGCAGTAATATTTTGATCATCCCAGAACAGTAATTTTAGTCACACCCTTTGTTAACACCCAAGGCCCATCTCTTACTATGAATTTTTTTTACAAAAATACAAAGTGGGCAGCTAGGGGAAGGAAGGGGAAGGTGGAATCATATTAGCAAGCGACAAAACATACAGCAAGTGGGTGGAATGCCTGCATGAACTCAAACCAGTTTTATGACTGGCCATGTTTTTATTATCTTCCCATGACATTGAATTCTAAGTATGTCCAAGGTTGAAACATAATTACTTCTCAGTGTACAGTTTGTTCCAAAGAACTTTGAAGCAATCACTCTTTTCTTGTAACTACTTATCCATTAAAATCTCATTTCAAACTTAAGAAAGTTTTAGACAAGAGTAAAAACTGCTAAAGCAGACCATGGAGTGAGTGCGCTGGTTAGTTTGGGGAAAATAATTAATTGTAATAACAGATTTTTGTTCAAAAAATTTTTGCACAGTGAATAATAATGGGAGTAACATGTGCACAGGATGTAAACATTTTCGGCATAAAACCGTAATCAAAATAAACAGAAAGTAAAAAGTATCGTGCATATATCACTGAGAAACAATGTGTAAAATACATTAAAAAATTCTTTCTGTTTTTCTTGCGTAGTTGAAAATGAACGCTTTGCCAGGTTCAATATCAATCAGATTTAAAAATTACAGTACGTATAGTAAGTGCAAGCAGTCAACTTATTCTTGACTTTTTAAACACTGTGTTTTTCAACTGCGTATCACATTTTCACATTTTATTTCCCTATGAGCCATACTGATGTTTTACCCCTCCACCATCTCCTTCTCAGTCTTCCAAATGGAGGTTTTCCCAGTCTGGGCATATTATTTGTCTGCCCAATTCATAGATACATATCCAGACTTAAAAAAAAGGAAAATTATGCTTCTGGGGTTTAGTTTGTTAAGGCAGATGAACTGCAGCATTACAAATAACTCACTTTACATAAAAAATTATATTTAATTCTTCCTTGCTAATCATGAAGTCAATAAAGATAAGGACAACTCACAGACATGGCAAACTCCAAAACTTTCTTTAGAATAGCCTCGTCACCAATGGCCCCAAGTGCTCGAGAGATACGATCCTTTTCTTCATGAAGATCAGCTTCTCGATATAACTGTAAAATAACGTTGATTTCTTTATGTATCCCTTTCATGCTTTGGCTAAGTAACAAAGGTAACTTCAATTGACATTCCTTCTCTATAGGAAGAGTAGGACAGGTCTTAAAACATCCTTATTTTACACCGGACTAAAGCAGGCAGATATTTAATCTTATTAAACTCCTTGAATTATTACTATGCGGTAAATCATAAAACATATTTAAAATTTTGTTATTAGATAAATCTTTGTAGTAAAATTATAAAATATGATAATTTTTCTCTATAACAGAGAAATCCCAAAACTTCTCTTAAAGGCTGCAGCTCTTGGGGGCTCTCAGTGGCTCACATAAAACTCAAATCATCTACTGGTGATTCTCGTGACAGCCAACGCGTTCCAAGTACATGGCTTTCACATGTCCTCCAAATGCACTATCTTCACATTGTTTTAAAGACTTTGTTCAAAAGTAAGTATGGAAAGAATGAAAACAACATCTGCTGTCTCGTAAGACTCACCCTCCTTTCAGAACCTTACGTCACAAAATCTCCAAATAAGCACAAAAGTTGATCACTAATTTCTGGCAACTTACCGTAAGCATGGTATTGTACGTGGATTCATCTCCAACAGAGAGCACGGCTTTGTAGACAGGGCTACGCAGGTCGGCTGGTAGTAAAGCCTCTCCAGAAACATGACCTTGAAATCTTTTCTTGGCTTCTGCAACTACAGCCTTGTCTCCAAACCATCCCAGTCGGCCAATGACAAGAGACCTCAGCAACGTATCCAAGTGACCTGGAAGATTACATACTTACTACAGTTTTAGCAGCTTCTTTCAAAGCAGACGCAACCACACAGATTAGTGATCTAAAAGAGTTCCTTAAATCATAACTCGCCACCATACTCACTTTCGTCGGGCCGCGGATCCCAGCCCAAACGAGCCGCAACTCCCTGCATGAGCCGACGCCCATATGCCTTGAAGAGATCTTCGTATTCAGTGTGAGAAAGGAGAATAGACAGCTTGCTAAGGCAGTTGTTAATACTACACCAAACTGTGAAATTGTCTTCATCACTGAAAGCTTCCATGAGCTTCAGAACTTCAACAGTAGGTGTATGGCCCGCCTGAACCTACACCAAACACACATCATCTACCGCTATAATAAGCAATATTGGTTGGTGATAATTTTACAGTGCTAATATATACAGATGTATACATGGAAATGCAATAATTAATTATTAGGTGTCTTCTGACATTACTACGGCAACATCGCTATATGCACTACATTAAATTATAAAGATATGTTGATTTAATTTGTCTATGCCGCTCTGTGAAAACAGTGCAGCAAAACAGATGTTTCATTACATTAAATAATATTATGACCTTTCATTAACCAAAGATAAGTAATGATTTTAATTTTCATATGCAGATTTGTTACACTTTTCAACAAAAATGTTTTTCTTCTTCTTAAGTACTACTTTAGATTTTCTCGTCATTTGTGACGGATAATTTGCTAGTTAAATGAGGTTTGAGGTTCTCACAGCAGTGAAGATGCTGGATGTTGGACTTTTCGGTAAAAACGCTGTGTGAACTTGTTGGTGCATACAAGTGTTTCCGAGGAACACTGCCTCCATTTTCATAAACACAGGAAATTACACAGTATTATAACCTGAAAGATCCTTCATCGCAATGAAAACCTATAATCTCATACAGCCAAGTAACAATCCAAAAATCTTGCCTCTATACTCAATAGCATACAATCGATAAAACGATTTATTAGACAATTTAATGACACTGTTTTAACAGCACCAGGTTGGTTATATAACATGGAAAGAGACGGGAAGTTGTGGTGCTGTCCCAACACTCACCTGAAGATACTTAAAAAAAAAACTGTCAAGAAACCTTAATCAGGTCAGCATTTCTGCTACACCAAACTGCTCAGTAAAATAATGAACTCTGACAATTAATTCCTCTGTACAATCACACCAAGTAATTAACAAACTCCGTGGAAGAGTGCCTTCAAAAAGCTGACAGTAGCTCGAACAGACAAGAAACTCCCTATCTTCTATGGAACCCCAAAGGTTATGATTTGAGGAACTCAAACCATTCATCCATCAATCTTATAAACCAGCCACTTACCATCGCAAAGAGATCATCGAGAAGTCCAAGTCTGTCAAGTGGTGGAAGGGACTTTTCATGAATCGCTGCCACAAACTGTGCCAGCATATCTGGAGGATACTGAGTACGGTAAAAACCCACCGTGCCTGGGTTCACCTTAACCCACTCGTGTGCTGCCACATTCTTCAGCAATACTTCCGAGGAATGTGTCTGAAGAACCGTATAATGAACAACTTCATTTGGTTTCTGGGAAGTACTGAACATGACTGGGATCAACCACTGACATTCACTACCTTAAAATAAAATAAATGAATAAAATTAATTAAATAACAAAATTAAAAAACATTCAATAATAAACGCACATATTCTGCACTTCTATTATTGGGGTGTTCAAAACACATCTGTTACTGAAGAAAGATATGACAAGCCGCTGTTTGTCGATAAGTCGCCCGACTGTCAAAATTTGTGTATCAATATTATATATCATACTTCCATACAAAAATATTTTACTGCTCTTCATCACGTAATTCATGTGCCCTCATGTTTTAGTCATAAACCATCGATGAAAAATGAAATCACCAAAGTCTTAATTACATAGCAGCAAGTAAAAAAATCTGAATGAAACAGAAATATGTATTAGATAGCTTGGAAACGGAAGAGACGGGAAAGAAAAAAGGATGGGATGAAGAGAGGGAAGAAGGAAGATGTTAATGTATCAGCATCTTAACTTCATCTGACAATTCATATCTGGTACTTACTGCTAGAACTTCCATCTGCACAGAACTTCTCCTGGGTTATGACCAGTTTACGATCACTTCCTATCTGCTTGTTAGTCACTTTTACTACTGGAAAACCCATCTGTTTGGTCCACGTTGACATCACAGCACCCACTGGTTTGTTACTAGCCTCTTCCAGGGCGGACCACAGATCTTCTGTGAAAGTATTCTTGTACTGATGGCGTGTAAGGTACAGATTCATTCCCTTCCGAAAGTCCTGGACACAGGGGCAGACAGTCAGGTGGAGTGTTTGCAACCAAAACTTTACAGGTAATTTTCACCTCTCTCATGCCTGCCACTCTTAATTCTTTACAAAATTACAACTGCAATCTGAAAACCCATTTTCATTCTGTGCCCCAAAGCACCATCTGACTTGGGACTATAAAATTCTGAAGCTGAACCTGAATTATTCAAGTTCAAAGGCTACTGACATCACATCATATTATACCCTGGGGCAAGAAAAAAGTGATTCACGGCTGTCTTCTCAAACTAAAGACGTCGCATTTTGGTAAAAATGATTGTTTTATGAAATAGTTATCTTATAATATCAGTAATTAAAATAAGGAGTCACCTCGTCACCAATATACTTGTGAAGCATTCGGATAACCGAAGCTCCCTTGTTGTACGAGATGTCGTCAAAGATTTCATCAATTTCTGAAGGATGTCCAACAGGAACCTGTAACAAAGATCACGCGCCATCTCCGAGCATTTCTAAGAAGTATTGGAGTAGTTCATTTTTTATCTGAGCCAATATAAAGAGCCACAAAAATATCAGAGAAAAGTACAGGATACCGATCACGTATTCAGATCGTCATTTCTTTCACCAAATGCTTTGTAAGGTAAATTACTACCCTTCAGTACCCGCCAGTATGGGCTAGCTATTCAACTCTACAAAATACGGAGTTCGCATCTATACAAGAATTCAGATATATTGTAAGTGGATGATGGCTTCATGTACAGCATTCTGCCCAACCTTTTACTTTGTATTCCTCGACACAGAATATGAAATTGGTCTCGCTGTAGGAGAACTGCAAATCCCTGAGCATCAAATAAGCACCATGCAGAAATAAAAAGTGCCTTAGTAATATAGCCCCCGCATATATTTGTTGGCAATAAACTAAATGTTTCTAATTTTAATCTTGAAGAAATGTCTTAAAACAGTCGATACATTACCTCAATTGGATGGCTGTTTTTTAAACAGTCTAGTTCCAGTGCTGGAATATAGGTGTCAGTAACAAACTGTGTCCAGATGTCATACTCAGGAAAGAGATGAGCAACACACAGAAACTCAACGAAGGATGCGTACCCTTCATTCAGCCATAAGTGTGTCCACCATTCCTTACAGAATCAGAGAAAAACAGTAAACAATGTCACAGAAAGTAATGTGCTCAGAAAACTAAACGTAAAACGTGATATTTCAGGTCATCGCAATGACGGATATGAAGACGGGAGATGCTTGGTCAGATAGACTGGTACATTTTAACTTGATATTTCAGAGACGCATACTGCCTCCCACATCAACACACCTACCAGAATACATGGGGCAACATCCCACAGGACAGTCGTCTAAACCTACCATTGTGACTAGATTCCCAAACCACTGATGGGCTAGTTCGTGCCCCACTACGAGAGCAATCCATTGTTTCCGCACGGCGGACGTGTTCTCGGGATCCACCAGTAGACATGTCTCTCTGTAAGTAACCAGACCCCAGTTTTCCATAGCACCTACAAAGTGAAAAAGAGAATTTAATTCACCGATTACACCTACCATTAACAAAATACACAGTAAAATAAATTGTGCCTAAAATTATAGTGGAAAGACAATAATCTGAATGAAATCAGCAAAATAACATGTTCAAAATTTCAACACGGACGCCACTGTCTTTTACAATTAATGGAAGTCTAGATCCGTGTTCAAGCAAGTCACCTAGAGCGATAACGCAGTTTACTCTTACTCAGAAGGAACAAGAAGCTAGGATAGCCGAGTCATTACAATGTTTGACTATGGACTAAATGACTGGGGATCAATCCCTGGCATGGGAGAAAGATATTTCGGTACTTGTGGGTTATCGGAACACATCTCTTTAAAAATAGGTTAGGTTAGGTTAATGTGTGTGGACAACAATAAGTAACTGAACGAACTAACAGATAACAACAACCCTAACCTAATCTAACATATTTTTAAAGCGATGTCCCCCAATAACCCACAAGTACCGATATTTCTTATAGTCTCTGCATCCAGACCGGCTGTGGGGCCCACCTAGCCTCCTGTGCAATAAATAATAGGGTCCCTGGAGTGAAGAGCAGCCAGGGTGTGATGCTGATCACTCATCCGCATCTAGCACCTACGTCAAGAACAAGAAGGACCTATACCTAGTCTTCTCTCAAGTGCCAAGCATGTAGCATGACAGCTCTATTTTCATTATTCAAAATAATCCCCTCATCTTGTTTAAGATTAAGTATTGTACATTCTTGTTTTCCACTTTACCCCACATCAGTGAAAACAACTGCGAGTTGGCCGTATTTATATAATAAGACATTCACAGACTTCTATACTAATTTATCTAATAAAATTAAATACCTGCTGAGAAATCCGCTATAGCGATGAGATCGATCTTTGGCAACGGATATGCAATCTGAAAGTAATCCTTATAATATGGGAGCACTTTTGTGGCAACATAAAGAGCAAAGCGACCTTGCTCACGCTTTCCAACAGGCGTGTACACACGAACCAGGACGCCATCATGCGACTTGTCCTCCACATAGTCATATTCTCCGACAACCACTGCGACCAGGTAGGTCGACATGATGGGTGTGGTATCGAACTTCACCACGCGCAGTCCACCGTCTTCTTCTATCTGCTCAGACACCACTGGCTGGAATAACAGTAGCAATACCTTGTCACGTCACAGGAACACGCATGTACAACGGGGCTATAGTTCTTTTAGCACTGCTTTCTTACTATACAACACACATTTCCACATTCATATTTCTGCTCCCTCATACCCTAAACTTACAAACATTTTCCTCCATCTACATCTATTTCCATACACGTATTTTCTAATACTTTTTAAATAAACTACATTGACATACTTGTTGCAAGACGCCTCCATCCGAGCTTTGCCGGATGTTACAAACGCGCATACCAGAGGCCAGCCAGCTGAGATACAGGGGAGGGAGGGAAACACCATCACATTATAGCACACAGCATCTTGCTCCCGCCTTGCCCTTCCCCTTTTACTGTGACACAACTCAGGCTTGCACGTATTTTGCATCCAGTACACAACATATTACTTTCTTACAGGCTAGGTCTTCATCACTTACGCTAAGCCAATGGATACATCAAAATTACTTCCTCCGCATCCTTGACGCAGAGTCATATAACACACGATATAAATCACCAAAGCTTAAAAAGAGCAGTGTTCAAACATCATACTGAATATGCACTTTAAATTCAAGTTTGTCCATGTTCATTTGATTTTGTTTAAAAAAATATAGTTCCAGATACTGTTAGATAAAAATTGATACAAAGACTCCTTGTGACATAAATCTTGACAACTAGCATTTCTGAAATTGAAAATCAGCAATTTCCTTTTTTAATTTTCTGGTTCTATGTTGAGGAACAAACAATGTACACGTGAGGACAGCGTATAAACAAAAGACATCCGTAAGAATGAAATGCACAAAACAAAGACAAAAATCTCATATGTTTATACATGATAAGATTAAAAATGCATACTCTACTCACCATATTAGACAACGCAACCTTGCTCTTAGGAACAACCAGAGTTATATCAAAACTTGCTTTGATGGCTGGTTCATCCCAGCAGGGAAAACAACGTCTAGCATCCGTAGCTTCAAACTGGGTGACGCCAGCAAACCGTTTCTCTCCATCTGGACTGCAAGCAGACAAGGGGAAATGATGATGAACACTCAGCTTACCATGTTTGAAAGCGCCACCAATGCACTTGAGTCCAGTATAACGGTGATATCAAATGTGGTCTTTACAGATGGCTCGTCCCAGCACGGAAACATGCGACGTGCGTGCGTACTACACAGCTGTGTCACTGCGGAATACGACGTCACAGGGTCACGTCCTTCGCCAGGTATTCTGCGTTCCAACCACCAACAACACATTACGAAATACTGATAAACTTCATTATTTACTTCAACATATAGTCTGAATGTGCACATTGTCCTCAAGAACAGAAATAAAAGTGTGGAAACATGCGCACACAGTGTTCGTCATGCTCAAATCAATGTCTAACAAAAACTGCATAATTAATAACATATAATAGTGTTAATTCTCAATCAGCAGTCCAGAGGTGTGTTTTATGAGGCATGCATACATTTCTTGAAATACTGTGCCATTCCGGATGATGAAAAATATGAACAATAGTTATGTAATATAAAAAATAAGATTTGTTACTGCCATCAATGTTTGGCAGCGCGAATCCCTACAAGTAGTCATACAGCTTAACGAAGAACATCAAGTCAATAACTAGTAAGCATCTTGCAATCTTAGGCAAACAATTACGGAAACGCAAGGAATTCAAATTATCATTAAAAGTGGAATCCTATAACATATTAAAAATTGAGCCTAAACAAAGAATTTTGTAACTTACATTCTGATCCCAGTACTGCATCTTTAAACCCCATATAAAATGTGGATGTTGCAATAACAAAAGAAGTAAATCTCAATATATATTTACAAAACAGTGAAGAGTTGTGTTAAGTTAGTTACAACAAACCAAGTTCAGTAACAGATTAGGACACCTGGTGGTTTATTTAGGACACAGCACCTGAAAATTCAATCCTAATTCAGCAACAAGCATACAGGAATTTGTTCCTACTAATAATTCAGGTTCTCATGGCAGCAAGTATGAGTCACTGAACATGATGATGTAGACAGGCAGTAAACACATCTAAAATGTATGTCAATTTCTATGAGATTACATGGTGCAACATCCCAGTTTCTTCCTATTTCTTCATCACATAATAAAGACAAAATAATGGTACAATAAAGCATGTGCATATGTACATATAAAGATAGATATGATTCAAGCAATGCACTTCATTATTTTCATTGTGTGAACACTAAATTATAACCCCACATATAAGAACTGTTGCAAATCAACAACGTGCACAATTCCATAACATCCAACACTGACAACACCCTTACTATTTAGTAACACAGATAAAATAAAAACTTCAGGCATTACACTCAAAATTTCTCACCTCACATACTGACTTCTGTAAAATCCTTTCATCTTATCATTAAGTTCACCAGTGAAATGAAGTTCAAGAGATCCTTCACCAACTGGGATGGGTTCACCAAATGATAATATAAGTCTTTCATCTTCAACAGATATGTTGATATCAAGGGGTTTGATAATGTCTCCATGTAATGAAGTATACTTCACACTTCTGATGTTCAAATCCAAAGAGTTGAGTATAATCTTGTCTGTAGCTTGGTTCACCTATGGATAGTAACAGAAATTTTAAACATTCTGCCACTATTACAATAACATGGCTGTACTAATGAGAATGAAGTACAAAAAATAATAACACGTGGCATTTTCAAATGACTAGGCAATAAAACAATGTTTTAAACACACACTCAAACACACATGACCTCTTACAGTAACTTACCTCAACCTTTACTGTCTCTTGGCCTTCAAATACAAACGTCTTCAAGTCAGGCTTTAGTTTCAGGTTATAATGTTTCGGAATCACTGATTTGGGTAGCCTTTCAAACGGCTTTGACACAGGCATGGTTAACGAATGTATACAAAACTTTGCCCTGTGTTGCAGAAACTCTGATTCAGGCAAGAACTGTGAATGTGCAGCACTGATTCCGTATTTCGTACGTCCTTTACCACAAGAAGTTGAACGTCGGTCACTATACCCACTTCCTCGCAGCAGAAGTGTTGAAACACCACTGACAAGTATATCAGTAGGTCTAAACCTATTTTCTTGCTGGAAGAGAGAATAACGGTAACGGAACAGTCGGTGTCCAACAAAAACCGGTTCTTGAGCTTGTCGTATCATAGAACACGCTATTCTAACAGACATTAATCGAACATTATGGCAAGCATGCTTTGGAGCTTAAGAGAATCTTATCTACTTTACATTACAGTTTATCAAAGGAAGGTGAAAGTCCACTGCTGACAAATATTGCTACCGTGCAGGTATTCGTGTAAATAATGTAACTATTCCAGTTCAGATTAAAAACTACCTCCAGTGTGATGTTATTTACCCAGATTGTCCAGCGAATGTGCCACGATATTACGCACGCCTCGGTTACTCCATTTAATAAAACAAAACACTGCGTGAATGCGAGCGCTCGGAAAAAAGTAGACTCACCAAATTAGAATACAATTTGCAGATACATTCCTCATGGCTACCACCTTTCATTACTGAATAACTCTTCTATATGTTCTGTGAATGTTGCAAGGCGGAAAATATTTTTAACAAAGGGAAAGTCACAGAACCTCTAACTACAAAACTGCTGCCTTCAGCTTTAAAAATATTTCAGTGAGAATGATTAAGAAGAGATTCGATAGTTTAAACAGTGTCCCGAAAGATAGAAATGCCTCGACATATCATAATCCAACTCTTTGCCATTGTGTGTAAACAGAATGGTACGAATTTTGTTTATTACCCAAGATCCAAATGAAGAACACAATCCTTTGTCACTAAAATAACCGCTCCCCAGCTACAACAACATTTAAGTCTTTACAACGCCTATGGCAGAATATCTCAGTGAAATGTCTGGGACATTCTACACTGTAAAGGATATATTGTCACTTCATAGATAAAAGTTATGAAACCAAAAACTGGTGTATTGTTGATGACTCTGGTGGTGATAAAAATGGTGAAAGTATCACAATATTCTCGCATGCACTGAATTAATAATTCGAGAATTACTGGACGAAAATTAATGCCATTTGATGGTTGTTATGTATAGGTCACTGTTCGATGCCCATAATTTTTAATTTCTTGCATTCTGCTGACATCGCGAGGTGGGATGATGATAATGCCACTACCCACGTTCCCTTGAGCATCCGCATGACTATTTATATTCTTGTTGATATCCAAGGAAAAATTTAAATATGAAAATTTACAGGTTCTACTGAAGCTAATACCTATATCCCAAAAGATTAAAATTAAATATCCCCTCCACGTAAATACATAAATAAGAAGCTCAAACAGTAACGCATATAAAATTATAGTTATCGCCATATGGAATTTCTATATGTTGGTACCACGCAAGTTAAAATGTATAATGCAACTACTTGAAATATTAAAAGGTTAAATGTATCTCCAATGTGTTTTTTTTAAATCCACAATTTGAACACCAGAAAATCCTCTAGGAACTATATAAGTTTGTTGATTTTATTTACAATCGTGTTCACAAATTATCGCCTTAACCTTGGGAGTTGGGACGTCAAACAAACGTACCAGTTACCCAACTTAAATAAGCCTGATAACACGCATATTAATACTCACTATAAATAGTATTAAACATCTCACCGTCTACAATACGTTAAACTTAGCGTGTTTTTGGGCTGTGTTGCTAATTTGTTAAGAAGTTCCTGCGAGCCCTTTGCAGCAAATCGCTGGTCTAGACCAATTTTGCAACAATAAATTCTTATTTTAAGTAAATAGATATCAAAGATTAATGACGTTTTACACTTGGAAACAAGCATTTGTTAAATTTAACGATTCTGATGATTTTAACAGGCAAGTTAATATATTTATGAGTTATGAAATACAGGAGTGGATTTAACATCAGGAAAACGTGAAATTCATACAGAATCTGGCAGCGGTAACTTCTGAACAACGATAATTTCGACAACTACAGAGAATGAAAGGTTGGGAATAAGTTATGAGCGTGTCAGATAGATGGAAGTCTTTCACGATTGTGTTCAATAACGGGCTTTTGCATTACTGGAGATAAAACTTCTAGGTTTATTACTTCGGTAATGGTATTTCTATTGTCTATACACATAATGTGATGGATATACAGAATATAGATTTTGTTCTCAGGCCTATGTGTTAATGGCATTATCGACTACAGTAAATGAATACAAATGTTCTGTGATGTATGACGTTTGTGTGTCGCAAGAACCTGTAAAACGGAGCGGCATCACGACCCAGAAGACCGTGATAGAAGGGCTCATGTTTTCCGTCGTCAACATGTCGTTCCTAACATTCCTTACCTCCACTGTACCACGGCAGAAAACAAGAAAACATCAACCTCACATGCAACTGTCCAGTCCCAGGAAATGCGGCAACCGTCAGCCATTGTATTTTTCTTTTATTTTCTATTATTCGATAAAGTCCAAAAGATTTTGTCTCCATTTCACTACACTCTTCTGAATATAAGGTTGATTGATGGGTTTGACAGGGGGCTGCCCCCCACATTGAATGAGAGGAGACTGCAGCTGGTAAAATCTGGTACACGTACCCGGCCCAAAAGAGTCCACACAACGAAGCTTCCATTGCAGTAAAATATCTTCAACAACAGCACCCAACACCAGACGCTCTCAACAGGGGTGTGGCACCAAATGTTTTGACAAGAATGAAGATGCCAGCCTTCTGGGATGTTGCGCCGTGTAGTCTCGCGGAATTTTACCGACGTTTCGGAGGTTCGTTCCAGCCTCTCATATTCTCAGTCGTGAGAACATAAAAATTCCACTTACTAAAAAGGGGCTCGTACCAGGAAACTGTATTTTAGTTTTCCATTTTGAAGTAGGGACAAGCATCATTTTATCATTGTACGTGTATCGATATTCTAATAATCGGATGTTTATTTTAGTATTTACTTTCCAGATAACAGGGTGCTCGCACGAGGCCCTTGGAGGTCCCTACACTACACCCCTGGTTCGCAACATTTTCTAACCCACGGAAGGGTAGCACCACGACATGCTTTCTGTGGAAGAATGTCCCCTCCCTGTCTGCCTCATTGTACAATGCACACAACACTCACCCTAAACTTTTACAATAAAAGGTTAAGAAATACGGGGAACAAGAAATTCCCTGCCAGTGTGTAATGGAAACTGACCGTAATTAATTGACGCACTGGAAACACGAGAATAAATTTAGTACCACGGAGACCATAAACGCTAACTAGAACTTGCTGTCCGGCATAAATTGAGCCACAGGCGTGGAGCCTTATATCTACGCCCCATATACACATTCACAGCAAAATTGTCATCAAGATTCATAACGACTCATAGACATTTTCTGTGTGTGCGTCTTTGTAACATCTTCCTTCTCTTCTCCATTTTATTCTTCATATTCCTCGGCCTGTTGGGTTTTATTTTCATACCAGTTATCCATCATACATTAATCTCAAACAGGCTGAGAACCTATAAAGCAGATTTCTTCATTTCGCTTTATATAACGACGCTATCAGCATTTAAGACTACATGACGTAAGATGATTAGTTGATGAGTGAATGGGGAATGATGTGGAAGGAATCGATCACAACCGAATATAGGTTAATATCGGAGCATTTGCTTCTAGGAACTGGGAAAAACAACGAAATCAAGGAGTGTACATCACCAGGCAGGCGTGTTCGACGTGATGCAGTAGAACAAAGCGGATGCAGACACCTCATTCACATGACATGCTGGTCTTGAGATTACAGGCTCGCAATTAAATCTTTTGCTACGCTCAGAAACGAGCTGACATTGCCAAGGTCAGCAGCGGTTACACTCACGCCTACGATGGAGCCCGGTGTTGGCTACGGTCACAAAGACCGCCCGCTTCGGCGGAAATAAGAAGACGACAATAAGCACGAAGGTAGCGATGGGGCGGGTTCTGAACCCGCAGACCACAGCTCACAGACTCATGGAGTAGACTGAACTGAACTTCTGGTGGCAGATCCAAAGATTCAGCTAATACCAATGCCGGTCATTGGACGCGGACCTGAGCCAGTTCCATCCACTTTTATCCTTCCTTTTCCTTCTAGGTCTTCCGAGTAGTCATTTTCCAACAGGCTTCCTGATCAAAATTCTGTTCCCCTCTCTATACGCCATTTAGGCGCTTGGGGGAGGAGATGGTATAGCTCCTACTCATTTTTGACCTCGGCACTAGATGGGGGTGAGTGGTTAGCGTCACGCCCCGGCCGGCTTTACCCCCGGGAAAGGACCCCGGTACCCATTGTAGAGGAGGCTGGGTGGGCCCCAGAGCCGGTCTGGACGTAGAGGCGAGAGGAAAAATCCTCTGCCCCCTCCGGGGATCGCGCCATGCAGATTGAAAATCCTCTGACTTCACTGTTCTAACAAACGGTAGGTATCTGAACAAACAAGGTAATTATCGCTGTGTAATATCTTAATAAATTAATATTGAAAAGGGAGTAAGACAGGGATGCAGACTATCGCCTTTGCTGTTTAATTTGTATGTTGAGGAAGCAATGAAGGACGTGAAAGAAAATTCAAGATAGGAATAAAGCTCCAAGGAGAAAGGATAGCAATGTTAAGGTTCGCCGATGATATTGCCCTTTTGGCTGATAGGAAGGAAGATGCAGAGATATTATTGGATGGTATGGTACTCAGTGAGCAATTCGGCTTAAGGATAAACAAAAGCAAGACAAAAGTTATCAGGAGCAGCAGAAATGAGAATTAAGTAACAAAATTGGGAAAGACACAGTAGAAGAAGTGAAGAAATTCTGTTATTTAGGAAGCAAAATCACTAAAGATGGACGAAGCAAGGAAGACTTTAAAAGCAGATTAGCATAAGCGAAAAGAGAAGTCAAACATTGACCTGGAATTAAGAAAGATTATTCTGAAGTTATATGTTTGGAGCACGGAAGCGAAACAGGGTCAGTGGGAAAGCCAGAAAGAAGGAGGGTAGAAGCATTTGAAATGTTGAAAATTAAGTGGACTGATAAAGTACGAAATGCGCTGGTCTTAGACAGGACAGGCGAAGGAAGAAGTCTATGGAAAAATCTTACGATGGTGGGACACATTCTGAGGCACCCAGGATTGGTTAATTTGGAAGAAACAGTTGAAGGGAAGAATTGTAGGGGAGACAAAGATTGGAATATGTGACGAAGATTTTTGAGAATGTGAGCTGTAAAAAATATGTGGAAACGAAGAGACTGGCGCAAGATAGACGAAAATAGAAGACCACATCAAACCAGTCGGAAGACTGATGACAAAGAGAGAGAGAATATCGTAAAACGGACCACTTTGTTTGTCCTTCTTAACTCGTAATGCTTATTTACCAAAGAATTTTCTTTCCAGACACGTGTAATTTATGGCGAGTTCCTTCTCGGTCGTAACGCCACGCGAACTTGTCGATGGATACCGACGTTTCGGAAGAACGTACTATCTCCATCTTTGGG